GATCAGGTTTCTTGCATTTGTGACATAGCCTCCTCTTGTAGTCACTGGATGAGGAATCATTGCTCCTTGAGGATTTTCCAAAGCGGCCACGTCTTGAGAACTTCTGAAATTTCTTCATGAGCAGTGCTAGCTCCTGGCTCAATTCTTCAGGATCACCAAGGCTGCTGCCAGAATCTTCATTTTCAGATCCAGACATTGCCTTGGCCTTCAGGGCACGTGATCTACCGTAGCATGAACCATAGAGATCTCTCTTTTCAGCAAGCTGGAACACATGAGTGTTTAGCCTCTCAAGGATATCAGCTGGATCAAGTGGCTTGTAATCAGCACGCTCTTGTATCATCAATGCCAGAGTATCAAATGAGGAATCAAGTGATCTCAACAATTTCTTCACCACCTCATGGTTGGTGATGTCAGTGGCACCAAGCGCTTGAAGCTCATTTGAGATGTCAGTGAGACGATCGAAGGTTTGCTAAATATTTTCATTGTCGAGTCTTTTGAAGCGGTTGAAGAGATTGCGAAGTACATCAACCCGAGAGTCACGCTGAGTTGAGACTCCTTCATTCACTTTGGACAGCCTATCCCAGATAAGCTTAGCAGTTTCCAAAGCACTCACTCTTCCATACTGTCCTTTGCTCAGATGGCCACATATGATATTCTTTGCTTGAGAATCGAGTTGCTTGAATCTCTTCACATCAGTGGCGTTCAGTGAGGATGAGACAGAGGGAACACCATTTCCCACAACATACCAGAGATCGTTATCAATTGCCTCAAGATGCATTCGCATCTTATTTTTCCAGTAGGGGTAGTCTTTCCCATCGAAGGTAGGACAACCAGTAGAGACCTTGATCATACCTGCGGTCGACATAACTAAAACTCCAGGCGGTTAAACCAAAATCACACAGAACAAGGGAGTACCTTGCTCTGATACCAATTGAAAGTGTGTTATATCGACTAGAGGAGGGGTGAATAGGCGATTTTTATGAATTCTTCACTGAGGAATTTGCCGGTGAGGAAATTCCTTAGTGAAGAAGTACTTGCAGCGGAATAAGTACTCAGAAGTAAGCATAACAGAATACATCCATGGTCATCATGATGAAATGAAGACAAGCACAGAGTACAGAAAGCGTAATCACATGATAACACAAGATGAAGACAAACAGACTGAAGAAATTGAACTGAGGAAATTGAGAAAGCCTTCAGTCAAAGTCTTCAAACACAGATATGATGAAGCACTTAACACAGTAATGAGGAAATGAAAGAGTTGAGGAAATAGAACCAGTAAGCTTGGTGAAGAAAATGATTTGGTAGACCAGTTCCAACTGCTGTCTCAGTTGTACGTCTGGTTGGAGCGGCTGAGTATTTAAACTCGAGGACACACAGTCCCGGACACCCAGTCCTGAGCACGCAGCTCAGGACACCAAGTTCTCACCATATTCTCCTTGAACTACGGTCACACAGACCTCGTCCAATCACTTGTGGTAAGTCTTCAGGCGACTTCCAAACCTTCACAAACTTGGTCACTCGGCGATCCACAATTCCTCTTGGATGCTCTAGACCATGACGCCTAACCGTCTGGAAGAAGCATAGTCTTCAAAGATAACAAGCGTTGGATCCACGCAGGATCAATCTCTTCAGTGATGCTCAATTACTTTGGGTTTGTAGGTGTTTGGGTTTGGTTTTTCCTCACTTGATGATTTTCACTCAAAGTCCTCGGAGGATGTGATACTCTCAATTGGCAAGTGTCAGTTTCTCTCGGAGCAGCCAACCAGCTAGTGGTTGTAGGGGGCTGCTATTTATAGCCTAGGGAGCAGCCCGACATGATAAGACATAAATGTCCTTCAATAATATGACCGTTAGGTGGATAAGATATTTTGAAACAGCTGGCGCGTAGCATAGCAACGGTCGGAAATTTGAGGTTCAAATTCCTCAGGGCTATCATGTTCCTCACTGTGTAGGCAATCCGCATTGGCGAATTCCTAACTACTCAGTCAGAACAAATTACTCAGCGACCATAAGAACTTCGTCTCTGTCACTGAAGAAATTGACTGAACTGTATGAGATTTCCAATGTCTTCACTCGAAGGTGTAGGATTTTGAGTTGAGCATCACATTGAAATTTTTCCTTAGTATTTCCTCAACCCCCTTTAACAGTACGGTGTTTCCTATGACTCAAGAAAGAGAAAACGAAACTACGAAAACAAAAGTCTTCACGCTTCATGTTCCTCAAATGAATACCAAGTTTTTAAGGTCACACCAATTTCTTCACTTTCAAAGTCTTCAGAATACCAAAGTCTTCAGTCGGAGAACTTCATTTTTAGGGGTCGACTTTCTCTGTAAATATCAAACTCCTCATAGACTTATAGACCTGTGTACACTCATAAACGCATTAGACCTTTAACCTATAAGTCTTCAATACACCAAAATCACTAAGGGGCACTAGATGCACTTACAAGCGGCGCGGGATCCCGAGCCACCAAACTGTCATGCCCGACTGGGAGGCCATCTTACATGGTAGGACACTACTTCCTCCCATCTCTTCGGCACATCCTCATCACTCATGCTCTTGGGTGTGCGGTGTGCCGCATCATCATACACTTGAATATGTGTACATTTTTTTACATTGCTCGAATTTGTATGCAATTATTATACATGGGGCATGGATTGTGTTACTTTTTCGTGAATCACACTCCAATTGTTTTGTCATTTTTTAATCTTGCACAAGGATGAAAACATATATCTTTTTTTTGAGGGTGATGAAAACATATATCTATTGTAACAAGGGGTGTGTTACGCGTTAGCCGAATGATCTTTTTAGAGGATTGGCTCGGTCGCGAGCTGTCGGATATGCGTCATCGTGCGGATCTTCCCTTAGTACAACAGACTGGCTGTTGCAGAAATCTTTGCAGCAGAGGTCTTGTTGCAGAAAAGTTTTGCAACAAAGGTCTTTTTGCAGAAAAAAATTCGTCTTCACATTTTTGCAACATAGGTGATATTTTGCGAAAGAAGCTTTTGCAGCATAGGTGATGTCGCAACAAATTTTGCAACAAAGATGATGTTCCAGAAACAATGTCGCCATTCCCGACGCATGTCGCAGCAGCACCATCATCGTTCGTCGTCACCGTTTGCAATTCCGTCGTTGCCATTGCAACAGGGAGGCAAATGATGATGGTCGGCGGCGGCTCATGCACGCATATCCATGACCCCAAGTTGCGAGCCGGGCGTCACTGCGGCTCACAACAGTCGTGCTTTGCTTGTAGCAACAAGGGTGCGCGGCAGCCGACCTTGCACCATGGCGCGGGGGCAGAGCTCGCAGCAACCTGAGGTCGTGTTTCAACGAGGAGCTCTGCGCCTAGCACGTTGCCTCGTCTGGTCGAGATGAGCAGTGCAATAGCGGCAACAAGCACAACATACTACAATGGCGGCGAGGTGAAAAGGCGAGGAGGATATGGTAAGGACGTGTGTGTGAGGTGGAGATTTTTTAGGAACATCGAACATGGTGCAGTGTGGTTGAGATTGGATAAGCCAGGGAGACCATGTCACGCAGAACACGCGTCACATGAGCGAAGCAGTGGACCGGAGACAACAAATCAGTCGGGTGATTTGAATCATATCCCAATTGTTTTCCTCAAGTGATGTTGATTAGCAAAAAAAGTACTGTTGGTTAGCAAATTGTGCATCTGATGCGCTAATCCAATCCTTGACACAGCTTCTTCTCTTTATGAAAGATCATTATTAAATGATAAACAGAAACCGACCTTAGCTCAGTTGGTAGAGCGGAGGACTGTAGTGTTGCAGATAAATCCTTAGGTCGCTGGTTCGAATCCGGCAGGTCGGAATTTTGTATTTTTCTCCCGATATCTTTTATCTTTTTTTTTTCCTACCATCTGCTGACTGTCCAACGAACCCAACCTGAACCAGAACGGAGACAGGCCAGCGTACCCTCCCGCGCATACCGACTCCGCCGCCGGCGTCGTCCCTGCGCACCACCGCCGATCCCACGCAAATCAGCTTCTCTTCCCTTTTCAGTTTGAAACCCTTGCTCCCTTCCATTTGGAAACAAATTAAATCACAGTCCCCTTGCTCTGTTCAGTTTGACAAATTAAATCCTAATATCTTGGCATGATTTGGATCTTAAATACTTGAGTTATGCGTAATTTTGACTGGGAACATTCATTGGTGGCACACAAAATATATCTAGGACTGAATCTTAGTGTATGATTTCTGAAAATATAGTGTCACACAGAATATCTAGAGCAGTGGCACACAGAATAGAAAGTACATCATTTAATCATGGCGAGAACATGCCATCATCTATATCTTCAAGACTTTAACACTAGCTAGGACATGCAAAAGATCAGTCAAACTTGTCATGAATTCGTATCCTCGAGAGCCCACATCATTTGGTCCAAAATCCTTTTTCTTGTTACTGAATAATTATGTGTTGGCATGTTCTCTTTTTCTTTCTGCTTGCCAGAAAGAAGTCGTCTCTTTCTTTTCTTTCTGCAGACACAGATGGTCTTTTCTTCTTTTTCTTGTGTTGCCTATCAAACCAAGTTCTTCTTTTCTAAAGTGGCCGTATGCATCTCCCGGATGCAGAGGCCGGGGGTCATGCATCCTCCTTTTCTAAAAAAAAAATCAAACAAAGTTCTTCTTATTTTGGAGTTTTTGTTCTGAACCTCTTTTTTCTTTATGCGTGCATCACTCAAGAATTCTTTCTTCTGAACCCCTGTCAAGTGCATTTTCAATCAAAATGCAACATTCTTCAGAGCTTGTATGTCTGTTGCACTAATGCAAGCTCTCTTTTTTGCCAGAGCAGTGAGAAAACCAATGAGATTGAGACAGACATGCGAAGTTCCAAACTATGCAATTCCACAAGACCACAAGGTATGGACACATATGTCAATTCTCGTTGTTTCTTTTAGAAAGAAAAACGTAAAACAGTTTATATACCATTATGGAGTCATCAGATTTCAAATTTAACTGACACAAGGATTTTATTCACTACCGAGGGTACCTAGATGACAACAAATACTCTGCTTCCAAGCTATACTGCCGGCTCGTTTCCTCCATGTTCGTACCCTCAATCACTGGATACTTCGGCACATGCATGTCATGCATCACGAAGCTATCATGCGAGGCCCCAAGACTCTCGAGTGTCAACTCCACTTGCCTCATGCTTGGCCGGTGGTCTCCTTCAATCCTCACGCATGCCATCGCCAGCACAGCCACCTCTTTAACCTCCTTGCCGCCTTCTTCAACGACCTGAGGATCTAGCACGCGAACCAGCTTGCCTGCTGCTAGCGAAGAAGTGAAATATGAGACAAGGGTTTCCTCCTCGGATGACCGATATGAGCATGGTTTTTCCTTGTCAAAAGTTCCATGAGGAGGACACCGAAGCTGTAAACGTCGCTCTTCTCGGTGAGCTGTCCCGAGTAGAAATACAAGGGGCCTAGGTACCCAAATGTCCCTTGGATAGCGGTTGCGGTCTCTGTTTGATCGACCGGAATGCACCTCGAAGCTCCAAAGTCTGACACCTTTGCTATGAGAGTGCCATCTAACAGAATGTTTTGGGACTTGATATCCCTGTGGACTATAGGGAACGACACGGACGAGTGAAGGTAGGCAAGAGCTCTTGCAGTTTCGGTTGCAATCCTTATCCGATCTTCCCATGCCAGGGATGGCGCGGGTTCTTGGACATGGAGATGATGGTAAAGGGTCCCATTGGAGATGAACTCGTACACCAGCAAAGGCACCTCCGTCCCAAGGCAACACCCAAAGAGTTTCACCACGTTTCGGTGGTTGATCTGTGAGAGGATGGCTACCGCATTTATAAACTCGTCGATCTCCCTCTGGATCGCGACTTTGGACTTCTTGATCGCCACGACGTGCAGGTCTGACATGATCCCTTTGTAGACCATGCCATGCCCTCCTCCACCAATCTCGCGAGCTTTGTCGAAATTGTTTGTGGCCTTTTGTAGCTCCACCAAGGGAATGATCATCCTCTCGGCGATGTCCGCCTTCTGAGACACCAATTGCTGCAACAGATGCCCTCGATTTTGCTTGAAGAATCTCTTCTTGAGCATTTTTGCCCTCCGTTGCTTCATCTTCCGGGTCACCAAAATAGCACCAAGTACCATGATTAGAAGGGCTGCTCCACTGCCAACTCCAATGCCGACACTTAAACCTGAAGAATGTGCACAAATAATGCATCTTTGTTGTTAGGGGAGAACCTCTGAGATACAAAGCAGAGCATGACGACCCGATGCAATCTCTGACTCATAATTTTATTGGTTCTGTGCTCACCTAGAGAAGATCTGATGCAGCCATTTCTTATGCGCGGGTCGCCTTGGGCGCCACGCGGGCACCGGCATAGGTGCCCGCCGGCCGTGTTGGTGCACTCGCCGAAGCACATGCCCGGCAGCGTGCACTCGTCGACGTCCTGGCATCCGCCGGCGAGGTACGGGTTGCCCTGGTAACCGTCCAGGCACCGGCACACGTAGCCGCTGCGGTAGTTGCCGGAGACGTTGCGGCAGGAGGCATGGCTGCTCTGGCACGCGCTCCTCCGCGCGTCCACGGGGCAGCCCGACGTTGCCACTCCCGGCAGCACCACCGGCTTCGAATCCACGGCGAACTCGAGGACGACGGGCACCGCCGGCCCGCGCGAGGGCGAGTACCCCAGCGAGTCGTTGAGGAGCGCGGCGGAGGCGCCGTCGAACCACCCTCTCTCGGCGATGCGCACCGCGATGGGCAGCCTGTCGGCGTGCTCATTGCTCGAGTCCAGCGACTTGATCTCCACGCGGTAGGAGGGGCGGCCGATGGGGACGGGCGTCTCGCAGCAGCCGATGCCGGAGCACGTGGCCGTGGCGGCGCCGTCGCCGGTGGAGCTCGAGTTGGTCACGGCGCCGGTCCACTTGTCGTTGATGGAGCAGAAGGAGGAGCAGCCGCTGATGACGTTGCCGCCGCCGCCGTCCCCGACGAGTGTGGCCTGCACGTTGCACCCCGTCACGACGAACTGGTTGCGCCACTCCGACAGCACGTACGGGCCGGCGGTGCCGAGGCCGCCCCACGCACCGTTGCCGTCGAGGCCTCCGGGCCCGGTGAAGTTGAGCTTGACCTGGCCCGCGCCGTCCACGACCCGCAGCGTGGAGTTGGCCAGGGAGATCTCCACGACCTGGAGGCCGGTGCCAACGAGCAGCCGCGGCTCACCGGAGCGCGCCCGGTCGCAGGTGAGGTTGAATCCCGGCCAGTAGCAGCCGTCGCCGATGCCGATCGAACGGGTACGGCACGCGCACAGCGCCGCAGCTGGTTGGGCAGCGCGAGCCTGCGCCTGGCGTAGCCTGAGCTGCTGCCGCTGAGAGGCAGAGCTGCAGCAGCAACACCGTCAGCGCGACGGCCGGAATCATCGTCGCGGCGGGTTGTTCCATTATTGTCTCTCCGATCCATTATAAAGCTTTCTACAAGTTGAGCAAGCTGTAGTGTAGGAGAGCAGCCGCAACCTACCGTGACAGTGAGTGCTCGCTCGCTTGACCCAACACGCGCGCATGTGCATGCATGTGCACGTTGACGGACCTGGTCTAGGCTGCATGGTGATGAGTGATGACCAAGACATTGAGATGTCGTTTTGGAAAAAGTCCAAAACAAACCTTCAATTTGTAGGCGAAAGCTAAATCAAATCCCGAACTCTCAATCCTTGAAATCAGCACACCAAACTCTCTAATTCCGGTCTATTTTAAACCTTGACAGAACATAGTCGGGATTTGCTGAATTGGGCCGGCCCAGCAGCGAGTTGCTTGCGCGCGCACTAATCTGGTTTTCTTAGTTTCTTCCTTTTCCTTTTTCTTTTCTTTTTCATTTTTTACACGTGTCTAATTTTTCTCAGCATCCAATGTACATTTTTAACGCACACATTAAATATTTTTGATAAACTTTTGATATTTTAAAATACATTATGTACATTTATAAATTACATGTTTTAAAAAAAATTGAATGCATGGTAATATTTTTTCAACTACATGTTTTACATTTTCTTCATGACAATAAACATTTTATAAAACTACACAACATTCTTTTACATGGTTCAACATTTTTAAATTTGCATACACTTTTTTCAAGGACATGCGACATATATTCTGTTAAGGTTATGACACATTTTTTTACATCACGCAACATATTTTTACATTGTAAACACATTCTTTTAAAAATGTCACAGGCACAATTTTTGGAACTCGTGATCATTCTTGAAATTTTACATTTTTTTGAATGTATAAAACATTTTTTAATCACACAAATATCATTATACATTGTATAAACATTTGGATTGGCCCATACATTTTATAAAACTTGAGATATTTTTTAAATGTCACAAAATATTTCCAGGTTTCAGAAAATGTTTATGTATCAAAACGTGTCCGCACTTTAAAATTTTGTTCAGGTTGCAGAAAAAATTTATGTTTCGAAAAGTGTTTGCACTTTAAAATTTTGTTCAGGTTTCAAAAAATGTTTATAAAGGTGTTTGCTTTTTCAAAGTTGTTGCTTTTTTTAAAAGTATTCAAAATTTTCAAAAAGTTCTCGCACTTTATAAAATGTTCAAAGATTTCATAAATAAATACATTTTCAATAATTGTTTGCCCCTAAAAAATGTTTTCAAAGTTCGACGCTTTGGTTTCTGATTAAATATTTCGGGCCTCTGACTATGTCAGCATAGTCCTCTGGTGTAGTGGCTACTAGGTCCCAAGTTCGACTCCACAACATATTTTTTCTGTTTTGGAATTATTACGTCGCCCGTTAAGGAAAAGAAAGAAAGAATTTTTACGTCGCGTTTTAAGGAAAGAAACTCGCTTCATGTCTGGTGCACTGGCCTAGTCGAGTCCACTGCAAACAATCCGAAACAATTTTTAAATAATATATTTATGAAACTCCAAAAACAGTATTTAAAAATGTGACACAGTTTTGAAAATATGAAATATTTTTCATAGCATGTGAAAAAATATTGGAATTCTGAACATTTTTTGATAAATGTGATTTTTTAAAATTGCGAACAGTTTTCTAAAATGCTAATAGAGTTGATTTTGTGCGAAACATGAAATTCCAAACAGTTTTTATTAACACAAAACGAATTGAATTTGTGGGAAAAATAGAAACAGAAACATTTTTAACTTTTGAACATTTTTAGAAATGTGCGAACATTTTTTAAACCGCATGAATTCTTGTTGTGTTATAGTGGACCGGCCCAAAATCTAGTTCGTGAGAGTAGCTGGAATCCTGGCCGGGATTGTAGTCTGCCCAGTGTGCCAAACAGGTCTAGAGTCCAAAATAGACCGGGATTACAAGTTCAGAGTGCCAATTTCCGGGATTCAAAGTTCAGGGTTTAATTTAGTTTTCATCTAAAACTTCAAGGTTTATTTTGGACTTTTTCCTATCGTTTTCTTGTTTTCACATTTGTATCTACAATTTCATGATTTCTTCTTTTTCGATCTCATGAATTTTCTATTTTTTTATTTTTTTTAGAAAAGGAGAATGTACCCCGGGCCTCTGCATCAATGCATCCATATTATTAATTATTCACAAACACCATACAAGGTGATACATCAATAAGCCTGAAGCCACCATCTTGGCAACACTGTTGCTACTCCTATCCCCTTGATGAAGGTGTGCCGAATGTCCGGGCCTAATACCAAATAGACATCGCACCAAAGCCTAACATCTAAAGCCGGTGTCCCATCCAAGCCACTACCTGGAATGGGTCCCACCCCGGTCTGGCACACTCCCAGTAAGCACCGGACGTTGCAAGGGCCGTCACCTCTATCATCCCTTGGTCCATCCTCAGAGCAGAACTGATGTACCGACCTTGCCAGGTCTCTCTGCCATCAACGCCACCATGACACCAGACAGCTTCCTCCTCATGCGCACGTCCATCTAGACACATCTGTCGTTGAGAATCAGCTACACCATGCCGCCAATACTCGTCGTCGTCGACGCGGTAGATCCAACACCGCTCCACCTGCCGACCTCCACACCGTCGCTGCTGCAGGAACTGCCATGCAGAGCCCCCCACCCACAGTACCTCTCCCCCGAACACCCAAGCCTCCCAAGATGGCGCCTCCATGGAGGACACGATGCTAAGGGCGCTGCCGCCGCCCAATCCAAGATGGATTTTGGACTTTCGTCCGGGAGTGGGTCAGAGGTGGATAGGAGAGGACCTCAGCTTCGCCTCCAAGGAGGGTAACGACGCCAAAGCCGTCGCTGATGTCGGGTCGAGCTAGCCAACCAAAGTTTCCTTCTATCCCCAACCTGTACCACCAACCACTTCCTGCTTTGGATCTGGCCACAAATTGAGAAACGTAACCATCCGGAGAAGAAAGCACCATGGGGCGACTCTGGTGCAGATCCGTCCAGGCTCTAGATCCAGAGAATCCAACATGGGCAACGACGAGTACCACCATCCCGCACTGACCGCCGATGTCCAAGCGCCTGATCACGAAAGATCTGACCCGAATCCCATCGTCGCCTTTTTCTGGATCGAGATTCCCATGCGAGAGAAGAGAGAGGGTGAAAAGAGAGTGGCGAAAGGAGGGATGGACGAAGGGATCACATGAATGAGGAAGAGAGAATCACTCTAGATCGGATGGGGGTTGGGTTTGGAAAGCAAAATCAGAATCGGGAACATATCGGGAAGGAGCCGAGGTCGATTGGAAAAGATGGAAAGAGAAGAAAGCCAAAGGGAGGGGACGATGGAGTTGGATGAATGACGCGTCAATTGATTTTCTTTAGTTGATTGACGAAGCAATTGATTTGGCAAAGGAGATTACGGAGGAGAGGTGGAGGTTTCCTTTTTTCCTTAATAAGGGAGAAGTGGAACGACGGAGCAAAAGAATGAAGCAATGACTTACCGACTGACCATCACTGCTACAGACTTCGCCTTTAGGAGTAGAGATTCAATAGGGTTTGAAAAAATAAATACAAAGGTCAACCCAAACCTAACTTCGAGGTGAACAAAGTCACCTATACAAGTATAAAGATGTGTCCTAACCGCCTCAACCAACCAGTCTAGGTGTCCTACAACGTGCACCGCATGCACGCGCTCTATGTCCGCCGCCACCATCTTTAGTCGTCCCATCTTCAGGAGGGATCATTGCATAGACCTTGCCAGACGCTCTACCGTCGATGTCACCACGACATGATACAACGCCACTAGCCTTCGTGAGTCCCATACCACGTCCAACTCCAAGGATCCACTGCTCCACGTCGCTGAGACCCGCCATCTTCAATGCGGTAGATGCAACACTGGTCCACCTATTGGCCCCTCGAGTGAACCTCTACTCGAAAACAACGCCCTTGGGAGGGAAAATGGCACCACAATCTCTGTCACCATCCAATCTGGGAGACTAGATCTAAGGTTCCCCCATGAACAGATGCCCATGCAGGAAGAGGGGCACGCCTTCTGCACCTGCCACTAAACCTAAACGGTGTCAACCATCACAAAGCTCCCATGGCGACGCCTTTGGGATGGACACGACACCTTGAGCACCATCACCGCCCACCGTAGTTAGGGTTTTCACCCGAAATGCAGTAATATAGGAAAAGGTAGGGCGGACCCGAACGACATCTTCAAGAAGAAAGTCGGCACCCGTGGGCGGTGTCATCATGTCTGGCCAGAACCGACCAAGGAATTATCCTGATCTAGTACCGCGATCCCTAGCGGTAGTACCGTGAGGACGAGCGGTATACCGCTCCTTGGAGAGGTAGTACCGCTCTGTGCGGGCTGTGAGGATAACGGTTGGATTTTTCCCCACCTACAAAAGGGGGTCTTCTTCCCCAATGAACCTTATCTCTTTAGCTCGTGTTCTTCCTCCATCATTGACCTTCTTCGAGCTTGCTAACTCTCAATCCCTCCATGGATTCTTGCTAGTTTTTGAGGGAAAAGAGAGAGGAGATCTAGATCCACATTTCCACCAATCACTTTCTCCTCTGTGTGAGGGGAACCCCTTGGATCTAGATCTTGGAGTTCTTGGTGTTCTTCTTCTTGTTCTTCCTCTCACTTTCCTCCCTAACATTAGTTGCTTCGGTGGGATTTGGGAGAGAAGGACTTGGGCACTCCGTGTGCCCTTGCCATTGCATTTGGTGCATCAGTTTGAGTTCTCCATGGTGATACGTGGAAGTTTCGAGTTGGGAAGCGTATTACTCTTGGGTGTTTGGGTACCCGAGAGCTTGTTCCTCTTGGGTGCCTTGGCGCCCTAGACGGTTGGTGTTGTTAGGAGCTCAATCATTGTGGTGTAAAGCTCCGGGCAAGCGTCGGGGTCTCCAATTAGGTTGTGGAGATCGCCCCGAGCAATTTGACGGGTACCGGTGACCGCCCCCAAGGGTTGCCAAAGTGTACGGGTTTGGTGACCGCCCCCAAGGGTTGCCATTTGTACGGGTTTGGTGACCGCCCTCAAGGGTCCCTTAGTGGAATCACAACATCTTGCATTGTGCAAGGGCGTGAGGAGATTACGGTGGCCCTAGTGGCTTCTTGGGGAGCATTGTGCCTCAACACCGCTCCAAACAGAGATTAGCATCCGCAAGGGTGTGAACTTCAGGATACATCAT